ACACACACACACACACACACACACACACACACACACACACACACACATACATATACATAAATTTAAAAATACTTAAGCTTTCTGTATTTGTATTTCCATCAATGATTGAATCAAATATTGTATAAAACCAAACATGTTATTAAATAAAAATTGAATACATTATGTAAATGTTTCCAGCTCAAACTATTTTAGTACTCTGGGTCCATCTCCACATCAGAAGAAAATGCTGCACAATCAGCCAGTTATTTGAAGGGTGTTGACTTTTCCACCAGCAGATCTTATTTTACCTTATTTCTATGAAATTGGCATTTTTCACTCCCTTTGGGGGTCCCATTCTTTCTTAGCCCTTTGACTTGAACACAGAGACATAATTGCAGTTCCTGCATTCTCTATTCGGCATAAAACCTCCCCGCTTGCTCTGTCACGTTCGGCCCTTGGCTGAGTTTTATTTCATAAACGGGTACCAGGGCAGAGACCGGGAGATGGATAACAAGGGATGTGAGGTGGTGATTTCCACCAAAGAATAGCTCACATTTCATCATTATTTAATACAGAGAAAAAAATATAAAAAAGGAAGTTTAAGCATCAGTTTCAATAAATGAGTCAATTTTTGATGAAATTCAACATTTTTTCCCATAAATAATCTTGCAGCAAAATATAGATCAGCTAATCTCGTGGTATATGTACCTAAATCATAAGTAACATGAACTTTAGTGATGAAAATTTAAAGTCATTCTGCTGAAGTGAAGAATTCGGGCTAAATGCTCCTCACTGCTTCTTCTCAGCGCACACGGGCAGCCTTAGTTTTACAGTGAACGTAAAAAGACAAGATACAGGAATTAGTTGTGAATGGTTTACTGTGTCAATATCTCCTCAGACTGTGGCACACACTGTCAGCAACAGCACCCTCACCCGTTGCCTTGAGCCTGACCAGGAAAGGCTTTGCCCTTCTTGTGGGGTCGTTAACCTGGTCCTGTCCACGTTAACAAGATGGAGCTCATCCTCTCTGCACATACACCGAACCTCCTCACTGCCGGCCACAGCTCAGGGAACATCACAGCAGAGGAGCGGAAGTGTAGTAAGTTAGAGGGTTGGGGCAACGCCGTTCTCTGGACACGACGCGGCTGTCCCTCGCTTGAACCCAGCAGCTGTGGCTTCCTGCACAAGATCAGGCCGGTCAGCATTCCAACCGGGAGGAGGAAAAGGACCAGTCCCCACCAGAGCTGAGGCATTATTGACTGCTGATGGTCGCTGGGAGAGAGTCACTCTTCTCTAGGAGTGAGGACGCTGGAAGATCCCATACCCCGACTAGTCAGACCCAGCGAGTTGTTACAAGAGAAGGGAAGGGACGAGGCAGGAGGTCACGAGCATCAGCATGTGTTGGGGGCCTCCCGGGAGGTCGGAGGATCGGAGTGGGTAGATATGATCAATTTATATTGTATATATGTATAAAAATCTTGAAGGTTTCGAAGAATAAAGAAGTTTTAAGCAAAATGTCCCTTTTGGCAAATTTTGTATTCTAGCTGCTATCTGAATGAACACGGTAGACGATCGATTGATCTGTGCTCTGTGGATGGCCATTGAGAAACATCTTTCTGGTGATTAAAAGCTTGAAGAGCTGGGTCTTGGAGACAATGAATATGTACAAAATATGGTCTTTGTGAAAGGTCTGCTAAATTAAAAAAAATAATTTATTTTATGTGCATCAGTGTGAAGCTATCCTGGGAACTGAAGTTACAGACAGTTGTAAGCTGCCTTGTGGGTGCTGGGAATTGAACCCCAGTCCTTTGAAGGAGCAGACAGTGCTCTTAACCACTGAGCCATCTCTCCAGCTCCCCCCCCCCCTTTTTGGTCCGCTAAATTTTAAGTTGGAGCAATATTACAGCCAAATAATGATTAAAATTTGGACAGCTTGTTTTGAATGAATATTTTAATATTTACAAAAAGCTTCCTAGTCAGAATGTGAGAGACATTTCCCATTGTGATAGGAGTTGTTGAAAATCTGATTCAGATTCCTGATCAGATGTTTACAAGTGCTGTACTGAAGCAGCCACAAGTTTCAGTGCATTGGTGTGTGTGTGTGTGTGTGTGAGAGAGAGAGACAGAAAGAGAGAGACAGAGAGAGACAGAGAGAGACAGAGAGAGAGAGAGAGATGTGTGTGTGTCTCCCTCTCTTTCTCACAGACACGGAGAATCTATTTTTCCTAGTTGTTGAGGTTTGTTTCATTAACAAAAAGGGAACAGAATTACTTTGAGCCCTGCCAACAAGCACGGACTATAACCGAACAGTTGACACTAGGTGGCAGGATAGGCCTGCAGATAGGTAATTCCTCAGGTGTGGCCTGAAAAGGCTACACCTCTCCACAGATCTCCAGAGTTCTTACTCAATGGGCAGCGTGTTAGGCTTTGACTTATGCATTATTTGGATCACAAATCCCTTTATAGATACTTATATTCTAGAGAACAGGGTTGTGGTAAACAGAATGAATGAAAAATTGAAGAAAATAGAATAAATTAAAAATTGCTAAAAACCTTTCCCAAATATTAGTGTTGGTAGGTGGATAATATTGTCTGCTAGTATTGGACAACATTAAAGCTGTCATTTTTGAATTTAGTGATTAATTTTTTGCAAACATAACATTGGTCATGTAAAAGATGACCAGTGGGTTAAGATGTCAAATGCAAATTTAAATACAACTTTCATTTTCACAATCAAGATTAGTATTCAAAAATACGAAGCATTTCAGAACACATCGGCATGAATAGATATGAAATGAGATAGTATCATTTTCAATGTAATCTAACTCTGCTCCAGAAATAGATTCAAACCTTCCTGGGAAGGGAGATTTCTGTGTCCCAACTGAACCTCTCACACATTAATTCTTGGTCTTTATTCGCTGCTTGTCCACATATAACTTTTCACCCAAACAGAAACCTTCTTGAGCACGGAAGGGACACTGCCCTCAGGACTGAGAAATAAAACCTCCCAACCCGTGTACTTGCCAGAGAGCCCACATCACCGTACTTAAACTAGGGATTTCTAAGCTGTTACATCTAAACCTCACTTTCCCTGTTCTATCTCATGCCTCTTTTCCCAGGACTTACCCTCTCTTCTTTCAGTGGCCTCTCTTCAGATTCTCATGGGCATCACCAGTTAGACAAGTTCCCACAGGAGTTGAAATACACCAAGACATAGCAAGAGTTAGGCTTTTTTAGTTGATAAGTATTCGGCTGATCCTGACATAATTTGACTCTCTTGAGGAAGAACATCACGAGATACTGTAACAAATACTACAGGCTCGTGAAATCGCTTTATTGTTGTGTGGATAACAGGCACCAATTGCTCAGTTCAGTTCACACTTGCACTTGAAAAATCTTATGCACAGTAAAGCTTATTAAAACATTATTTACCTTTAATAATTACAGTGAAAACTGGTCCTTTAGTTTTAGTAATAGCGTATTCACACTCAGTAGACACGGTATTGGGTAGAAATTATTTTAGCAAACGCAATTAATTATCCTTTGCTTTAGAATAAAACCCTAACAGCAGTTGCTAGGTAAAATAGTACAATATGAAGTCAACTTAGCTCCTTAATAAATTTTCTTTTTGATGTAACTGTTTAAGAATTACATGTTTCTCAAATAGCAAATTCCTATAAAGGATGGCATATAATGGCTTTTTAATTATGTCAATTAATTAAAGATGACTAGTGAATTTTGCTTAATCAAAAACATAAAAGAATTTCTAGTTCAGAATATGGTAGCTGGAAGGTTTCACAACATAATTTTTTAAATGTTTTCTTTGACCGGCCTGGCACTTTCATTGGGAATGCTCTATCTATCACACGTCCCGTGTAAAAGGATTTTGTTTTGGTTGTTTTTAAAGACCCATGTTCAAGGCAGTGGCTACAGAAACCCAAGCGGTCAGCTGAGACAGCAGAAACCTAAGTTTGTCACACAGGCTTTTGGTCTATTTGTCTAACTTGTGCACATCAGCCTGATTTAGCATCCCCTGATGAATTGCCTTGTGAGGCAAGGTCCATCTCTCAGGGGCTCCCACAGCTCGTGTAGAGGACCTGTCACTGCTGAGCCCGACGGAGGAACACGCTGGAGGACGTAAGCCCTGCAGTAAAAGCTGAAGTGGACAAATGTGGCTGTTCCTCAGGATGCCTTCCATCTGTGCATCCTTCCTCGCTCTGCAGACCCGTGGACGGGGGGACTCTGCATGGTGTGTGCTCTGTGAGGTTACGCGGCAGCCTCTTCCACGCCTGCCAACTGTCCTTAAACGGTCAAAATAGAAGACGCTTCTTTTTTTGGTCTTAATTGTCTGAAAAAGAACTATTTTGAGTGTTTACCTGAACATACAAGTTTGATCACCACTTATCACATAATTCTAAGTAGCTTCAGTGTGTTCTGGGGAAAAATAACAATCCAAACTACATGTAGAATATATAAGACTGAATGAATGTACTAACAATACCTCATTGGCTCAGAATCACCTAATCGGTGTCTGGAAATCGTTTCATCTAGTTTTGCCACAGCTATCCAAGCATTGGTCGTCACGCTAAAGCAAGCACTTGAGAATCTTCGCTCAGTCTTTTCACTTGTTCCTACATATCTCGTCATAATCTGGATTACCCCAGGTCCTTATAGCGCATTAATATAGCACGAATGCACATTTTCATGTTCATTAAATGGTGATTTATGATGATCTTATTAGTGAGAAGTAGATTTACTTTTCTAAGAAAGACACACATATGAATTATCCAGAACCTCTCTGGACCACAGCCAGAAGCCTATCTGCCCAAGCAATAATTTATCCTAAACACTACAAGTTGTATTAAAGTCTCTATTTTCAATAGCACCTTGTATATCTATCGTACAGGAAAACATTCATTGGGTCCTGATTCTTCAAGCATCATGTCAAAGAAAGAATTCCTTTACTTACTAAGACAGCTGTGTTTGAACAAATCCAATGAGTGAATCACAAAATGTTAATGCTTTAACACTTACTGGAAACATGTGCAGCTTTCCACAGTCAGTCTCCATCTGAGAGGTCAGGTATTCTTAGAGTGGGACGTACAGGTATGGACTGGGAGCCTTTGGAAGTTAAATACTAGTCTTTATTTTGCCCTGAACTTTAAGCTGTGAGTATCACGCTTAAAGGTTCTGTCAAGATCACCCGGGCAAGAGTGAGCCCCTGTGCTGGGAAGTGATTGTTCTCCACTCCTTTCCTCCCGGTTCCCTGTGCAGGGCGGGACTCCAATCAGAACTCTGCAGTTTTCACTGGGGAATGTCTTCTCTGTCCTTCTGATTAATGAGTTATTATTTTAGGAGGCAGTAGTGATTTACAATGTTGACTTTTCATCTTATGAGCTGAAGGAAACAGCACAACAAAAATATAACCCAAGAGTTCCTTCAAGAAAGCAAAACTAAAGTCTGTGCAAAGTCACTTACCTCTGTCTCCTAAAGCTACGCTGTGTCCATTCAGTTTCTTACACAGCTTTGGCTTCATCAGTGACCGAGACTGCCAATTACGTCTCTTATTTTTATATGGATATAACTTATTCTATATACATGTGTAGAATTAAAGATTCTGCAATACATTTCTTCCACAGCTCTCGAGATAGTGAAAGTTTAGGAAGGAGCACGGTCTTTCAGAAACATGATGACTTGGACTGCATCCTGTCTTTACTGCCTTGGCTAATCTGCCTGGACTCTGGGCTCCGTCGTTCGCTCCTTGGCTGTAGCAGCTTACCTGTTAGTCTGTGCCACTGAGTCAGCGCAGCTAATCAGAGCAGCTAATCAGAGGAGCTTTCCATTTTGTATATGTTTTAAAAGTTTAAATGATTCAAAGTTTAAATGATGTAGAGAATTCCAGGTATTATTATTTTATCCAACTTTCCCTGTCTGTACATGAGAAATTTGATGCAAAGGTCATGTGACTTTTAATGCTGTGGTTTCAGGAGTTATGATTATCACCAAATGTCATAATTATATGAAACTAACAAGTGTATTTCAGGTTTACAGTTTTTTTTTCCTGCTCATACTCAATGATTTCTTAAAAATACCTGTGACGTAATTATGTTTAGAGATAAAACATTTAAAGAAAGTAAAGTTCATTTGCTACATAAATTATTTCATAGTATCATGTAAAAACTACAGCCACATTTTCTTTAAAGTTATTTTGAGATAAAAATAACACAATGTTTAGCTTACATACAGTGATATGATTACATCAAACATTTGAAGTCTGAGAGGTCAGGTATTCTTACAATGGGGGATATGGATCTGTGCTGTGGTCACTTAGAAGTTAAAGTCTAGTCTTTATTTTATTTATTTCACACTCAGTGCACAGCTGGCTTTACAGTGCGCACACATGTCCTACTAAGGGACTTTCAGGAAGGAAGCACAAAGCTTCTTCATCTCCTTACGAAAAATTGATTGTGAATTGGATCACACATCAGTGCTCCCAAGTAGTTCTGATGCTCAGAATTCCATGCACATTGAAGAAGAAAATGTGACAGATAAAATTCTTCCTGGTTGTTCTGTGAATGCTAACTCAACACACACCCACAGGCACACTCCTTTGATTCTCTTACACTCACATTGCCTTCAAATCACAGGCAGCAAGTCCTGACAGAACTCAGTCTAGGTGAAAGCCAGCCAGCTTTTGCTGGTAACAATGTGCTCACACAGCACAGGATCTCTGTCTGTTCAGGCTGCTTCTTGCTCTTGTCGGAGCGGGAAGGGAGCTGCTGCTCCTTTCCTGGGATGAGCTATTTGAGAAAGAAAGTAACCTAACACTAAGTGCAGGCGGGGCGGGGTGATGTAACAGGAAGCCGTGATGCTTCCCCTCTGCGCTGATCACTTACAATCTGACAACACTCTGCATGGACTCAGAGCAAGCCCTCCCTCCCAGCGGTGCACTCCTGCCCCGGGACGTCGCTCTGCTGCCTGGAGCTCACCCTGCCTGCAGGACCACACTGCAGGGCTTCGACTCGTCCACGCCTTGGGAAGCTCCTCGGCGGCACCGCACAACTCCATCCTGAGACTGCTTCACACAGAATTTCCCTAGTCGCTGTGCTGGGTAAGTGTATCCTCAGGAGAAATTTACGTCTCCTCCGTACTGTTCTCAGGTAGTTTGACAACGTTTCTGACAAGAATTTACTAAGTGGCACTGAGTTACTGTCAAAGCCGCCTCATGGATTCTACATAGGGAAACTGGAGTCTTACTCCAGAGTTCATACAGAATCTATTACTAGTGCCTAAGAGTATTTACAGTGATCTTTTAGAACGTAAGTTTAGCAACTAATAACAATGTGACTGGACCAAAAGGCAGCTTTCTGAACAAATACCTTAATCAGGAAACAATGCTGGTTCAAGTTAGTTCTACTAGCTCAAGTCTTGACAGCTGGAAAACATTTGCAGCCCAGGAAAGGTCTTTAAATTTTCCACATAATCAGTATTCTAAGGAAGGGGTGGCAGAGGCTTCATGGGGTCCCAGAATCTTCCTGTGTGGCAGACACAAAGCAGAATTAGAAAGAAAAGCCACAGCCTGGGCTTTTGTTTGCCTTCTGCATCTATTGACACATCTCTACCTAACCAGCGGAATCTTCATTGTTCTTTGATGCCAGATATGTGTAAATACCCTTTTTTGTTTTGCTTTGTTCTTTTTTTTTTTTTTTTTTGTTTTGTTTTCTGTTTGTTTGTTTTGGGTCTTTTTGGAGAAAGTGTCCCTGTTTTGAGATCATGGTGTCTTACTAATAAGGGGAAAACCCCCCAAAAAATTACAACAACAAAAAATACCCTTTGAAATCCCTACAATTGCCCAAGGTTAAGAAAGTGCAGTGATTTCTGCATTACTTCATGGTTTTTAAGCTCTCCAGCTGAGAGTTGTGTTATTTCAACCGTCCTGCAAACTTGTGGGGAAGAGACTGTTAGGGGAACGCTGCGAACACACACTCACAGAGACACGATAAGCAAACGCATTAGCTCACTAAGCAGAGGAGTGGAATTCGGTATTAAAGGAAGCATTTCTAGGATGATGCTGAGACGAAACATCTGTAATGCTCTCTGCCACGGCACAGACTGTCCTGAGAACTTGGAACCGAGTGCCTTGTCAGCCAGGGGTGGTGAAAGCGGCATCACAAATTGCTGTGAAGGGGTGGAAGGCACCAGTCTCGGACTCAGATTGTGTTTGTCGGCGTAATTATTAAATTCTATGTTTTCTTATTTAAATGAAATCATAAACTGCGAGCTGCCTTCCAAAGCTAGCATGCTGAGCATAGAGTCTAGGAGTCCGGCGATAAGCATCCTGAGAAACTCCTCAGTGATTTTTGGCTCAGTTTGCACATATGTTTCTCAGCATAATGAAAAATTAATTCATACACTTGTAATTTTTAAAAACATTGTAGTTAATTTATGTTTTCAGTCATTTTTAAAATTATATCACTGAGTTCCCTAATGGACAGAAATGGACAAGGTTTCTAAGATACGGCTTATTACAAATAGTCATTAGGTAACTGGAGAAGGAAGTACAATCAGCATATTAAATAACCGCATGTCATATATAGTAACAGAAACTGAAAAGCATTATTCTAAGGGAGATATAGTGTTAAATTAACTGTTATATTAGTAAAATATTGTAAATTGGTAAGTCCTCAAACTTTTGATTTTTCTTGAATTAATGTCCCAAAGCACATAATTTCTTTTAATACCTTCGTCTGTATTAATAGCATCATTTAAAACAATCTTTAGTACCAAAAACCATAGCAGAAGATGCCCGGCAATGAAGATTGACAGTCACTAGGCAAATGAATTATCTGAGTTAATAACGAGGAGATTAAAATAAGAATTTATATCATTCTAGAATAAATGTAGCTTTTAAAATGAGTAAGCAAATGTCTGAGAACCAAACCTGGTTTTCATCCACAATGGTAGTTTAACAATATTTCCTTGTAACATCAAAAAATCAATCCATATGCTCTTAGACAAGCCTTAGATATGTCACATAAAAACAAAGAATTCATAATTGTCATGTCACACATAATGTGAAATGCATTTACCTAAAATTTCCTGTTTGTAACTCGATGCACTTAGATGGCGGTGTGGAGATGGTACAATAATAGCATGCAATCAGCCTTATCTCGCTCAACTTTTGATGGTAACTGTTTATTCAGAATTGTTTTTCAATTTTGTAGACAAATTAATACAATTATCTTTAAAGCATCAAAATAGGTATTCACTAAACAAAACGCATTTCACGCTTTATACATGACTTTGTTTGACTCTAGTAAAATTAATTCTGCTCTTAGAGGTACGATGATGTCACCTTTTCAGAATACAAACATAGTCCAAGGACCTAATTCCTTGTCTTTGTTTTGGATTTAGAAAAACTTCTAAAGCATTAGCGTAAGCAGTGTCTTACAGTACTGTTAATGGAAGCCGTGGCGTCGTCTGTAGTGCGACATAATCCTGACTTGTTCTGAATTTTAGAATTCACACTGAACACGAATAACTTGTATACAGCTGATCAGGGAAGAAATGCAGTTTTGAAGTCCAGTCTGGGCATGAACTCCACACATGTACTTTTACGTGTACTTTTTCTTGAATGTAATCTTTTTTTTTTTTTTAAAGAGCTATACTACAATATTAAATTATTTAAAAAATATCATTTACTATGTAAGAGTATTCTGATGCAATTGTGTAAGGACAAAACTTTGCAAAATTGCAAATAAGATCTGCATCCTACAAGGCATTTCCCCATTCCTTATCGTGGAAATTCTTTTCCTGCCCCAAATCTTTCATTAAAGGTGGTTGTACAAACTCCAGGTGTCTGTAGTTTGCCGTTTTAATTTTTTGGTAACTAGAGAAAGAAGTGGGAACAATACAGTAAATCATTCAATGCTTTTTAAACTTTTAAATTGGTGTGTAATTTTGAATATATATGATCATAGTTGAATAGAATAATAGGTAGAATATAATTTATTGTAAATTTGAAAAAATATATTGTTACCATGCTTAAGGAAAAAAATGAAAAAAAACCTGTGAAATACATTATAATCATATCATAATATTCATTTTGACAAAGTGGACTATAGTTTTATATTCCATTGTAACCCTCAGGAAAGCAGAGGCTTTTCAATAAATCCAGGTGATTATTTCTCCTGTGTAATTACTATTATGCTATTTGTCAGGAAATTGCTTTAAGTCAAATAATCTCAACACTTCTTAAATTCACTCAGTTTTCAAATTAGTAAGTTATTTTAGGGAAAAGATCTTTAATATTATGGCCATGTTAAACATGAATTGAGTTAGGGTTTCCTAGCTTGCCAGAATTATTATCATGTGATAAACTATTTATATACACCGCTCAAGAAAAGAACTCCATGCTTAGAGCTCACCCACAGACTGGACTTCATCTGCACCTGGAGAAATGCTGGTTCCTTCATCAGCTGTGTGCCAGTTATTCACCCTCAGTGTGAGTTCTACAGTTCAAAATAAGTCAGGAGTTACACTTGGGTTTTCAAGTCAGGGTTTCTCTGTGTAGCCCTGGCTGTCCTGGAACTCACCCTATAGACCAGGCTGGCCTCGAACTCTGCCTCTTAACTCTGCCTCCTGAGTACTAGGATTAAAGGCATGAGCCACCCCCACAAAGGGATAAAGTCTACTTGCCCAGAACACATTTCTTTCACTTTTTTCTTCAGCTAGCTTCTTTATGTAACATGAACACATTAACATACTGTTTGAAAATATGGTCAAAATAGTGTATTCAGGTTTCTAAAAAGAGTTTAATTCATGTATGGTTTTAATAAAATATGTGATATTTTCAGCCTTTTAGGCAATGAAAAGGACAAAACATTAAACTTACTCAAAGCGACGTAAGAGAACAATAAATTAATCAATTACTTAATAATCCTATGATACTGAAGTTTCAACTCTTTTATTACAAACCTCTTTTTCATAGAACTCTTGCTCCCCTCAGCACTATTCCATTTTTTGTCAGACTAAAACAAGTTACCTTCTTAGAGCACACACTCACACTGTGTAAAAAATGGTGTGCACCTAGCTTAACCTCTATCCAATTGTCTTTTTCATAAAAACTTCAGTAACTCTTCAAAGCCTCATTTGACTTATTAAATGAGCAACAGGTTGGTTTGCAAGAGTGCTCTCCTGGCATCTCAGTTCCCTGGGAGGTCCTTCGTGTGCCCCTGAGGATAAGGGAGACTTTAACAATGAGAATCAGTATAAATTTGTCTTGTATCCAAGCATTAGCAGGGACCAGGAGTCGTGCAGTTATCTTGTGTATCTGTGATTCAGTTTTGTCTGCCTTCTAAGGAGACTCTGAAGGGAAAATTGAGACTTTGGTCAAAGCGTCAGGGAGGAATACATTACATTTTAATAGGAAATGGTAAAGTCATGAAGAAATAATTTTATCAATATAAAACTGTTATTAATAGCTCTGCAGCTATTTTTATTACGAGAGGCAGAGGATAGATTTACTTAGCTTAATAAATGGAAACCTAGTATTAGAATAGTAGGTGTAGTGTTCTATGAAACAGGCTGCCTATGTATGCTACTTCAAGAGCTTAATTTCAATAAAGTTTGTATTTTAAAAACCTTTGTAAAAGCATCCCACTAGGCTTTATTGGATAAGGGAAAACAACCTGATACCCCTGCTTTACAAACTGAGACGTGTCACACACGTAGCCTAGCGGGCTTCAGCCCCACGCCATCCACGGGTGAATCCCAAGCCTACCCCTCGCTAGTTCTCCATCGTCTACAAATTGTAAGCGAAACCACACTGCTCTACAATGTGGTGTGAAGTCTGTGAGAAAATATGAGGAGCATGTTCAGCGGAATGTTTAGGTCTATGGAGAAATCGTCAGGTGTTTTTGAAATACAAATGAAACCACTGTGTATCTGTACAAAGGTCTATTCTTAGAACCAACATTCAGTGAGAATACAGCCTACACATGAGGGGCTCTGGACAGCTGTAGTTTGCAGTCAAAGGGATTATTCTTCTGCCTTTATATCGCACACAGTTGAGCAAAGTCTTAGTTATTATGTCTACATTATCTTAGACTA